AACCATTCACAAAGCATGATAACACAAGTAATGCCATTTCCATTCATAAAACATAAAATGCATAAAAAGGTTCAAGACATATCCATAGTCAAAGAAAAACATAATCACAAGCCTAAAAACATAAAATGCATAACCCTAAGATGTCCATCCTAAAGATTAGCCAAACTAAAGAGATATCAAGTTAGGTGGCATCAGGTGGGGGTGGAGGAAAAAAATGGTTAATAAGCTGATCAAGCTTTCCTCTCATTTCTGTCCGGAAACCATAAAAGTCGGTGTGCAGCTGCTGCATTTCAGAAATCATTAACTCCATGGTTTCACGGTTTGTCCTTTGCATGGAGACTCGAAATGGTCTTGGGCTGTTATCTTCACGTTCTTCTGCCCCTTGTTCTGCCATTTTTTGATCTGTATCACCTTCTTCTTCATCCCCTTCTTGTTCCCCTTTCTTTATCCAAGTGCCATTTCTAAACAAACAGTCCATTTTCCCAAAAGAAGCTTTGGTAAGTGTAGTCCTACTGGGAACCGTTCCGAACTTAAAGGGTGTAAGATCAATATTGTTCCTCTTCACCAATCTTGTAATTAAAGCACCATGAGGAAGTCCCGAAGTTGGTGAGTAAGGCTTGATTATGCTCCGGAAAATGTATTTTCCTAGGTTTACCCTTTTTCCGTTAAGAAGATAATCAAACCAGGGAAGATCACTGGCAAGAACATAAGATTTAGAACCCTTCCTCTGAGCAATAATGCGAGATATAATCCACTGCAATGCTCTATTCTCTGGTGTAAGATATCCCACTTTAGCTTGATTTTCAGTGCAATTGGGGGCAATTGTGGCTCTAACTAAGGCATGATTCACATCTAAAAACTCATCATCTCCTCCTTCAGGAATATCTAATTCAGCACAAATATCCCTTAGTGAAAACTGAAATGACACCCCAGCAACCATAGTTTTGCATTTATTCCCTCTTGGTTTCAAATTAGCATAGAATTGATGAACAACTTCATAATACACAGGCTCTTTAATTTCTATATAATTCTTCCACCCAAGTTCCCTAAAAATTTGCTCAACACGCATATCTCCTTGAGGAAATTGACTGAATTTGATACAATTGCAAGATAAAACAGCCATATTCTTGATTTTCATACTGTGTAGAGGCTTGGGTATCCAAAAAGAGATTTGATTGGGAGATGTTACCTTCTTCTTCTTGAGCTTGACCTTTGGTGCTAGAACTACCCACTTGTCTCCTTTTACTTCCAACCCTTCTTGAAGCCATGAGAGAGAAATCCCAACAAAAATACCAGCCACACCAAAAATACAGCAGATCCCACACAAATTGAAATGAAAAGCTTGAGGTTTTGTGTTGGGTAGGCAAGGATTTGAAGGTATTTGAGTGTTTAAGGGATGGGTTTTGGAGATTTGGAGAGATTTTGGTGTTTGGGAGAGGGAATGGCGAGTTTTGGGAGAGAAAAAATGGCAGATCTGGTTTGAAGAGAGAGAAACTCGAAAGTTAAAAACCTGCAGGAGAGTCGGCTATAATTGCAGAGCCGGCTGTAAAGCTGGTCCGGGTCGGGTTGCCTGCGGTTGAGCCGGCTGGGAAACTTAGAGCCGGCTGTGGTTTAGAGAGAGAAGACTCTCGGCTTTTTGGGTTGAGCTGGCTGTAAACCTAGAGCCGGCTGTGGTCTAGAGAGAGAACACTCTCAGGTTTTTGGTTGAGCCGGCTGTGAAAAGGGGTGAGCCGGCTCTACTGGCCTTGATTGGGACAAACAGAAAGTTTGGGGCTGTTTTGAAAGAAATGCACCTTAATTTGATATTTCTTCATTTAACTAAGTTTAAATTGG